GGAGCCCGATGCGGGGCTTGATCCCAGGACCCTGGGATCATGACCTGAGCCGAAGGCAGCCGCTTAACCGACTGAGCCACCCAGGCGCCCCTAAAAATCACCATATTAAGCAGATGTTATATTCTTTAGAAGAGAACAAGAAGCAACTCATTTATAACTTAGCTTTCAGATACGTTATCTGGTTATTGAGGCAATGCAAGACATTGCCACCTTATAACATCATCTAATACTTCGGTGGTAAATATAAACACTGAACAGATAAGAGGAAGAAAGAATAAAAGGACGTAACATTTATAAAGCACTCTTTATGTGTTAGGCACTGTTCCTTGGTGCTTTTATATTTGTTACCTTCTTTAACCCTCAAAACAATTTCAGTCACTTAGATAATTTAAAAATGAGAAAACTGAGGTCCAAAGAGGTTAAATAACTTGCCTGAAACCACCCTGAAAGAAAAAGACTACAATTCTTTTAAAAGTCTACTCAAATGCAACATTAAAATTGTTTTGTTTTCCCTTTACTGCCTCTCTTGGAAGTTGAATCCTCAAATCTGGATGTATGAAACAAATGCTCTGATTGTCTATATTATTTATAAATTATGCAACTGATACCTGGCTCTTAGACATATATTATCAGTTTCACTTGATGAGATAATCACTAACAGGAGGATAACATCCAAATGCAAGTAAACATTCAACTCCAATTTTACAGATACTAGGTGTGAGCCTATGTCAGCAAATTCCTATACAGAGAGGAAATTATATATCTTACTCGTCACCTCTGTTCCCAAGCACATGGCACATGGGTAATAGGCCGGGTTATGCCTTTCATGTGCACGTATTTGTGACTGTTGATTTCCTGTTGGTGGGTAAGATAAAAGTTTTCCTAAAGTAACTCAGATAATTGGATAAAAGACAAATGAAAAAATGAAGTGGAATCTGCTACAAATAACTTAAAAAACAAAAATCAAAGCAAAAGAAAACAATGGGTATAACCAAAAAAGACTTCTTATTTCCTCCTGAACTGAATTCCCATCTGCTTTTAAATGGCAACATGTTTTTCTATTAACTGGGAGCTACAGCCAAGAAGCCACAAAGACAATGAGGTTCTGGCCACCGGGGAGCGGCAGGCACAGGGATGGCTGAAGGATGCTACCACCTGCTTCAACCTCTCCGTGGAGGCTGCTCCCTTGTGACCCTATTCCCCTTCCAGCTGGCAACAAACTTCCCCTTGGGACTCGCCTGAGAATTAAAGAAATGCTTCAGTTCTCTGTCTACCCTCTCCAGGGAGGGAAAATGGAGAAACTCAGCGGGGTCTAAGGGGCCATTTGAAACACAGCCTGTGTAAGCTTTTAAGAAACAATGTTGACTGGGCAGAATAAAGCACTAGGTTGAAAGAAAACATTTTTAAAAAGTAACTCCTCCATTTCAGTCGTTAAAAGTACCCATATCATCTCCAACCACTCTATAGCTTTTTGTTGTTGTCGTAATTTATTTTTTTAAGTAAACTCTATGCCCAACGTGGGGCTTGAATTCAGGACCCCAAGGTCAAGAGTCACATGATCTACCGCTGAGCCAGCCAGGCCCTCCTCTCTATAGCTTTTTAATTAAAAATAAAGATAAAGAAAATACTCACTACAGTTAAACATTTTTCTGTTTCTAAAACACAGACACCAGCGTCAGCCATTTCCTCATCTTCTGACTCACCTGGCCAAATTCTTGTTCATACAGCTAAGACTGTACAGTTTAAATTAATGTATAATACACAATTAATATATTAATATATAAAATTGATAATACTCTCCTGTGAAGACAACAAATTTATCAGTATTTTCATTTTATACCAAAAGTGGCCACTGAGACACTCTCTAGAGTTGAACAAGTAGCTATGGCCATAGCACGGTGTCCTGCTACAAAGTTAGAGGGCTCTCCTTATGACAACGACAAAGGGAAGTCTATTCTTCCTAAATATACTTTTAAAAATCTTTTTTCTTTTTCAGTTTGTTAAATGTTTATTTAAGTATGTACTACGTAATAGGTTCTGTGCTGAAGGATCTGGCTTTACACTGAGGACGAAATAAATTAGTTCCATCAGTGGTAAAGCACTGGATCTGTAGGAGTCAGGTGACTGAGGGTTCCAGGTTGAATTTGTCTTACTGCTAAAAAAAAAAAAATAATCAGCTAATTTTGGCTTTCAACATTGCTGCACCATTTTCATTCTGAAGGAAAGAGGTGGGGGGAAAGATGGGATCTTATATTTTATTTGAAGCTAAATGTTGTCTGTCTTAAATTTCCTATTTATTTAATTTTAAGACTTAAGAAAATCATAGTTCTCTTGAAACAAAAGGGCACCTGTGTGAACTGCCTAAATAATCAGACAAAAACAAAAACAAAAACAAAAAACAAAAGCCCAAAACAAACAATATGGAACAAATCTGTCTGGCCCAAATGGAAAACTCCAGAACTACTAAGAAATAGCTCTGAATAAAATTCCTATGAAGTTGTAATAAAATATGGATTATAATTAGGATCAGGGTGGGATATACTTCCCCCACCAACCATTATGGGACCCATAAATGTAATTCAAGGAGGGACAGAATTTTCTGCTACTTTTCCTTGTGACTATTTTTAGAAGATCTGCTATAAAAATTAATCAGAAATGAATGTGCTTATGTTACAGACTGAGTAAGACATGTACTGCATAAGAACTAGCAAGCTGCTACAATAATTTCTGGCACCAAGTGAGTTTTTTCCTTTCAGCCAGACAGAATCTCACTGGCTTTGATTTTTGTTTTGCACTTCTATGCTACTACCATTAATTACTTCAAAGTGAGAAAGGCACATTTCTACCTTGCTAACTGCTCTTCCACTTTACTTAGCTCAAGTGGAAGATTTACGGTTTCTTCTCTTTGCTGTTTCCTGTAAACTGATGTATCATACACACGACGCCTGCCCTTGGTCTCACAACCAAAACTGAATTCTAGAAATGCTGGAGCAGTCAGTTAACAGCAACTATATGTTCATTTTAACCTAATGGACTGTCATGTCAAGAAGATGATCATAAGGATTATTTTTTCAGATAGGACTTAAAAACGTATGTACTTCAACTGCTTCTCAAGTTTCTTTCTATATGACTTTTTTTCCCCTCTCGGTGAAAATGAAAAACCTACAGGGGGAAAATCAAATATACATAGTTCACAGTTGAGATAAAACAATGAGGAGATTTGGGATTTATTTTAGTTGTTATTAGCTATGACTGAATGATACACTCACTCCAATTCTACATGTAAATTTACCCACAATACTCTCTGAGTACACTAATGATCTATTATGTATTAATCTCTTTGGTTTTCACAGAGGACAGATTACAAACAATAGCAAGCAGACAGAATGTGAAGTCTGTCTGCTGGATAATTCAGAATAAAAGAATTTATAATTTCTTATTTAAAAAGATACTAATTTCCCAGTACAAATCCCTATTAGTGGTATTCAGAAGATATTTCTGTGTTGAGGACTACAGCCTGTCCTTTCTTGAGAAATGCATGTAGAAAAGATGCACGATTATTTTAATTGGAATTTTATTTTGTAAATAAAAATGGCCTAAGCAAAAAGTTGCCACGGAGAGGAAAAAATGTTTACCTGCCATACTTGAAAACTTTCATTTTTTCACAGAGGTCTTATTGTTCTTATTGAGAGTATACTTTCACAGCTAAGGGTAGATTATAGACTGTCCCCTTTACAATTTTTATTATTTATTTATTTATTTTAAAATTTTATTTATTTGAGAGAGCGAGAGTGTGCATGTGTGAGAGAGAGAGAGAGAGAGAGCGAGCGTGTGCAAGAGCAGACTCCCCAAAGAGCAGGGAGCCAGATGTGGGACTCGGTCCCAGAACCCTGGGAAAATGACCTGAGCCGAAGGCAGATGCTTAACTGACTGAGCCACCCAGGCATCCTCTTTTACCGTGTGTGTGTGTGTTTTTTTTAAGATTTTATTTATTTATTTGACAGAAAGAGAGACAGTGAGAGAGGGAATACAAGCAGGTGGAATGGGAGAGGGAGAAGCAGGCTTCCCGCTGAGCAGGGAGCCCCATGTGGGGCTTGATCCCAGGACTCTGGGATCATGACCCTAGCCAAAGGCAGATGCTTAGCGACTGAACCACCCAGGCACCCCTCTCTTACTGTTTTTACGAGAGAATCTTTGTTAATACATAAGTAGACTAACATAATTTTCCAAAATGATAAACTATGGTAATAATACAATCTCTCTGCCAATTCTTGTACTTCTGAGCACTTGCATGATATCCTAATTTCATTTTTATGATTTCTATAAGAAAACAGTATGTAAAGTTTGTTTCATTTCCTTTTGATAGGTCAAGAAATCAAAGTTCAGAGAAGCTGAATAGTTGGAAGCTAATGTATCAAGAAACTCCAAAGAAGAAACTTCTACTTCTAGTCCAGTGTTCTCCCCACTATATCATGTTAATTCTCTGAAGACTACATTTTGAGAAGTAACAAGTCAGGTGAAAAACAATTGAGATATAATAGAGGCCAGTAAAATGTAATTTAATTTAGTGATTACCTGTCATATAGTGCATTTCCTAAGATTTCTTAACATATAGTTATTTAAAACAGTTGGTATCAAGCAGTCTTTTTGCTAATGACCCCAACCCACTGCTTTCCTGCCACCAAGGTATTTTGAGCAGAACTATCTTACCTCTGCTCCTGAATATGTATCTGTTTGGAGGATGAGTTCATCCAGATCCACATCATTACTGATCGGCATAGAGTGAAACTGCAGGTTAAATATTTCCCTTCTTGTTGCTGCATCTGGTAAAGGCACATAGATGATTCTGTCAATTCTTCCAGGTCGCATCAAAGCCTATAAAGAAGATGAGATAATGCAGATTAACCAAGCTCAAGACTGACATTCCACATGAAAGGTACCAAAGAGAGGGGATGTCTAGAATCTCATGAATAACCCACTATTACCCATAATTAGTACATAAAACAAGTACTAGTGATTCTATAATCTATTTCAAAGATTCAAACAAATCAACAATATTCAGAGTACTTTTGAAAATAGCAAAGCAATACTTCTGAGAGGCTTTCTGCTTCTCAGCAACGGTCAGGTCAATAAAAGATGGCTATTTTCTCTTAGAGAAATGTGTAATATCACTTGTATTCATTATATCAAAAGACTTTTTTTTGGAACTTCCTGCAATAACTCTTAAAATATGGGTTAAGCTGTTTTAGAGAGCCCTCAAAATAGCACAGCTCTGATAAAAGAATACTTCTAGAGCTGAAAGTAGTCAAATGAACTTCCCTCATATTTTACTGGAGGCTAATGCCTAAATTATCTTAGAGCTAATGAACTCATCTATTCAGGAAACTTTATTGAGCATGCACTATATACCAGACATTGTTCTTGGTACTAGAAAATAGCATGAATAAGATAGATATGTGTAAAAGTGATTGTGGTGATGGTTACATATGTCTGTGGATATACTAAAAGCCACTGAATTGTGTATTTTAAGTGGGTTAAACTTGTTATGTAAATTATTTCTCAATAAAGTTATTAAAACAGATATGGGTCTAAAATGTGTTAAGGGGCTGGGGCAACTTTTAGTTGGGGTGGTGTGAGAAAGTCTCTCTGAGGAGGTAACTTATGCAGATACCCAAAGGAGCCAACTTTAGAAAGATATGGGTGGAAGAGAATTCAAGGTATCAAGTACAAAGAGCAAGAATGACTGATATGTTCCAGGGAAAGAAAAAAAAAATCTGTGGTAGAGTGAATAAAGGGAAAAGAGGTAGGAAATGAGGTCCGAAAGACAGTCATAGGCAGATCATAATGCCATAAAAGACATGGTAAAGAGTCTGGACTATATTCTTCTTGTAAAGAGAAGTCATTAGACAGTTTTTTTTTTTTTTTTTTTAAAGATTTTATTTATTTGACAGAGAGAGACACAGCGAGAGAGGGAAACAAGCAGGGAGAATGGGAGAGGGAGAAGCAGGCCTCCCACAGAGCAGGGAGCCTGATGTGGGGCTCGATCCCAGGACGCTGGGATCATGACCTGAGCCGAAGGCAGACGCTTAACGACTGAGCCACCCAGGCGCCCCGATTAGACAGTTTTAAGTAGAAGGTGAATTGGTAAGATTTACATTAAAAGATCACTCATGGGCTGATATCAAAAGGTCTAATTTGTGTAACTACAGTCCCAGAAGGAAAGGAAAGAGAAGATGGGGCAGAAAAAATACTTGAAGAAGAATGAGCCAAAATTTCTCCAAATTGGTAAACAAACAAATTTACACAATCAAGAAGCTCAGTGAATTCAAAATAAAATAAATATAAAGAAAACCACACCTAGACACATCATAGCAAACTGCTGAAAACCAAAGACAAAATCTTGAAAGCTACCAGACTGAATACAGGGAACAATAATTTGAATCACCAAGGACTCTCAATCAAAACAATGAAGGGCAGAAACCAGCAGAACAACATCTTTAAAGTGCTGAAAGAATAAAAATGTCATTCTAGAATTCTGGTACCAGTGAAAATATTCTTTAATAATGAAGGAAAAATTAAGTCATTTTCAGATAAAAGAAACCAAGAAAACTTGTTTCTAGCAGAACGGCATTACAGAAAATGCTAAATGATGTTCTTCAGATTTAAGGGAAATGACATAAGATGGAAAACTGAATCTTCAGGAAGAAATGAAGAGCACTGGAAATGAAACACTACAAAACTGTACATGCCTTCCACTTCCAAAATTTTACTCTTGTTGCTGACATAATAAAAAAATGGCATTTCTTGAAGATTTAAGAGACACTCACTTATAAATAGTGAAACACAGCACATTTCTATATGTGCACTTTTGAATGAAATACCCAGAAAAAAGATTTGATAGAAGTAAATACAGAAAATAAGGAAGACAGGAACTCTAACATGAACATCTAATTAAAGAAACAAAAAACAAAAACCCTGAAAATGTAGCTGATACCACACATAAAACACTATAGAAAATACAAACATCAAAACCTCATATGGTTGCATGGTGGAATTTAGGTCTTAGAGAATCAGCACACACATGCGTGCGTGCACACACACAAACACACACACACAAATCATGATATTCTGTAAGTAATATACTGTGAGTAATAAGTTGTCCTCTGTCTCTGACCCAAGAATCTCATGTCTTTAGCCAAGCCCCCATGAAATTGTGGCAGGCTAACTTGTTAGCTTTCAAATAGGGTAAAGTCTCAGAACCTCTACAGTTCTTGACATGTATGTTCCTAATAATGGAGCCTCAAAATAATATAAAGCAAAAACTGACAGGATTAAAGAGATAAAAAGATAATTCCACAATCACAGTATGAGATTTTAACTCTTCTCTTAGCAATTACAGAACAACTAGAAAACAAATCAGTAAAGATAGGGAGGACTGAGGATCTGAACAAGACTATCAATCACTGTGACCTAACTGATATTTATTTATGGACCATTATACCCAACAACTGCAGAACACATATTTTTTTCAAGTATACATGGTATAATCAGCTCATATGATAGGCCATTAAACAAAACTCAACAAATTCAAAAGGACTGAAATCATACAAAGTAGTGCTCTGACTATAAGAGGGTAAATTAGAATAAATAACAATAAGACACAGAGGAAAACCTCAAGTACATGAAAATTAAACAACACCCTTCTAAATAAACCACAGGTCAAAGAAGAAATCATTAGGAAATTAGAAAGTGTTTCAAGTTGAATGATAATGCAAATCTAACATACCAAGATTTGTGGAATATACAATGTTAGAGACAAATTTATAACTTTAAATGTTTATGGTAGGAATCAATTTCAAAATTAACGACCTAAGGTTCAAGAGTAAGTACAAGGAAGGAAATAATAAAGATGAGAGCAGAAATCAATGAAATAGGAAACAACAGAGAAAATTGAAACTCAAGGGTAGTTCTCTGGAAAGATTTTTTTAAAAGATTTATTGATTTGAGAGAAAGAGAGAGAGAGAAAGCACATGAATGTGCAGAGGGGCAGAGGGAGAGAATCTCCAAGCAGACTTCACGCTCAGTGCAGAGCCCAACGTCAGGCTTAATCTCATGACCCATGAGATCATGACCTGAGTCGAAATCTGTAAAGATTTAAAAAAACTGATTAAATTCTAACTAGATTTGAACAAGGATCAAAAGAGAACAAATCACCAACATCAGAAATGGAAGAGAAGTTATCACTACAGATCCTACAGATAGCAAAAAGAATAATGAGAACACTATGAACAACTTTATGACAATAAATTCAACAACTTTGATAAAAAAATAAGTTTCTTAAAAAATCCAGTTGTCAAAATGGACACAAAATGAAATTTAAAAAATCAGAATGATCCTATATTTATTTTTTAAATGGAACTGAATTAAAAATTTAATTTATTATGACTTTTACACCTAGGCCTAAATGGTTTCACTTCTGAATTCTATTAGAGAAGAAATAACATCAAGATTGTACAACCATTTCAGAATAAAGAGAAGGGAACACTTCTCAAGTTGTTTTAGAAGGCCAACATAATACTAACTCCAAAACCTAACAAAGATATCACAAAAAAATGAAAATTACAGATTAATGACACTCATGGACACAGACCCAAAAATACCTTAAAAATATTAGCAAATAGAATCTCACAATGTATGAAATGAATAAATCATCTTAACCAAATCCAATTGGTATAATTCACCATATTAACAGAATAAAGGAGGAAATTCACATGATCTTTTTAGTATGTGCAAAAAAGCTTTTTGACAAAATTCAAGATCCACTCATGTTAAAAAACCTTCAGCAAATTAGTAATAGAAGAGAACTTCAATATGAGAGGTGGTATCTAGAAAAACCAACAGCTAATATCATAATTAATGTTGAAATATTGAATGCTTTCTATCAAGAACAAGGTAAAAACTCACCACTTCTACTGAAAAATATAATAGAGGTACTAGTCTTTATGAAAAGACAAAAGACAAAAACTGGGTGGGGGGGGAAGACATATAGAACTTGGAAGAGGAAAAGGTAAAACTATCCTCATTTGAAGATGACATGATTGTTTCTGTAGAAATACTAAGGAATCTACAAAACTACTAGCAAGATTACAGAATATAAGTTTATTATAAAAAATTGTATTTTATATATTAAGCAGTAAACTAATAGAAAATGAAGTTTTAAAAATCCACTTTATGAGAATACATGAAAAGCATAAAACATAAAAGACAGGAATAAAATTAATGAACACTTCACTGGAAACTAGAACACTATTGAGAAAAATTAGAGACCTACATAAAGAGAGATACACCATGTTCATGAATTAGAAGGCTCAATATTAAGATATTCATTCTTTTCAAATTTATCTATAGACTCAATGTAATTCCAATAAAAATTTCACAAGAGCTTTTTTAAAAAAACTGACAAACATTATAAAATTTATATGGAAATGCAAATGAGAATAGTGAAAGCAAGTCAAAAAAGAAAAAAGTTGAAGGGCTTACACTACCTGATTTCAAAACTTATAACGCTAAAAAAACCAAGACAGTGTGATAAGGTCCAGAAGAGATAAATATAGATCAACAGAACAGATAAGGGAGTCCATAATGGTTTTTATTCTTAAGGCATTCAACTAGGAAAGGAAAGCATTAAAAAAATAATGCTGTAACAATTAGATACTCATATATATTTATTTATAAAAAAGATTTATTATTTTATTTTTTTTAAAGATTTTATTCATTTGTCAGAGAGAAAGAATGCACAAGCAGGGGGAGCAGCAGACAGAGGGAGAAGCAGGCTCCCTGCTGAGCAAGGAGCCTCTTACGGGACTTGATCCCAG